TTCGTCAAAATTTTGGAAAAGTAGATATATGAGTAGATACATAAAAAAAAAAGCTTAATTCAATTAGGAATAAAAAACTAATTATTTGAAAATATTTGACAAATTTAAATGAAAAATAATATAATAAAAAGAGTCAAACAGTTTAATAACGGTGAGACTTTTCAATTTCTTTTTTCACAAATTATAAAATATTTATAAAACTGAAAAATTTAAATAGACAAAAGAGTAATTAAGTCAAATTTTTTTTTAAATAGAGTAGTGAAGTAGTAAAAATAAATTACTTCATACATGAATAAAAAAAAACTAATTACTTGATAAAATTAGGAATAAATTCGAAATCAAATAAGAAAACCAAAATAAAAAGGTAACTCTTAAATTATTTTATATCAATATTTTCGTTTTTATTTTGTTTATTTTCATGGGTGATTTATTTATTTTGTTATTTTTTTATGGGTTAGAAAATATTTTATCATGGGTTACAAAATATTCGATCATAAACCCGCATATATGCAGATATTTTACCTAGTTGTTCTATAAAGGATTAATTTGTTGAATAGCCCAAAAAATTATAACTCATAAACTAACCAAAAGTACCATATGTGGCAAAATCATAGCCCTTAGATTTAGGATTTTTGGTTAGTTTTTTAGTTATAATTTTTTCTTGGATATTCAATAAATTAACCCTTCTATAAATACTTGAATAGTGAATCTCATTCATTTTTCAACATTTTTGAAGTGGAATAATTTTTCAAAGGGTCAACTGCTCTAGACCCCCTCAAATTTATCTGTTTTGATCTGATCCCCCATACTTTGGACCTCTTCAATTATCAATCTCAAAATTTTTAGATTTTCAATAATCCACCTAAACTATATAATTATTCGAAGTTGCCCATATAAAATTAAAATTTTGATTGTGTTTGATTAACATGTATTTAACCGATAATTGCGTTTGATATGATTCGAAATTATATCCAAGTTAAACACAATTTGAATATGAATCATCCAAATGAAAAGAGAGGGTTTCATTTTCTCAAACTCGAGTCCAGGTTCTTCTTCTTCTTCAATGGTGTCTTTTTTGGTGTATAGAGAGGAACTCACCGTTTTAGAAGTTACACTAAGTGAGTTTTTTTTTGTAAGAAATATTACTTACAATTTGCGGTTTCGAGGAATTTCAGTTGGAAAAGGATTTGTAAAGTCGGAGTTTGGTCGAAAAAATCTGAATTCCATCGAGTAAATTGGATTTTACGAAGAAAATGCTTCACGGGTTGAACTTATACGCGTCGCGGTCGAGGCTGTGTGTACCGCGGACGAGTCAGTCGTGTCGTGGTTCGAGACGGGAAGAAGCAGGGTCGCGAGTGATTTTAATCGATAAGAGTAGGCGCATGGTCGGGACACGGGCCGTGGCTGGTCGCAGGATCGATCCGACATGTGTCCATCATGCGCGGGTAGTGTTCTGATCGAGAAGGGTAGTGCTCTGATTGAGTCGGGTAGTGTTCTGATTGAGTCGGGTAGTGTTCTGATTGAGAAGCTTAGCGTGTGTCGGAAAGGTAGTGTGTGTCGGAAGGGTAGCGTGGTTGTCGAGTCTGGGTAGCGTTCTGACCGAGACTGGGCCGCATGTTGTCGGGCGGATAACAGAAAGGTCCTGACACGTGTCCTGTCATGCGGTGGGTAACGTTTTGGTCGAGAAAACTTAGATTTTTCCTATAAATACTACCCTTAGCCATTCAATTCCGACCAAAAACACATTTCTTTTACCCTTACTCTACCAAAATCGTTTAAGAGCTTACTCATAGCGACTTTCTTGATTTTTGGCTTGGATCGAAAGCTTTTTCCCGTAAAATTAAGGTAAAATCTAGTGTTTTCCGATTGGTTTAAACATAGATCCGATTGTTCTAGTTGTTGAGGTTATCTATGTCCTTAACTTCAAGGATCGGGTCATTCAAGCTTTAAGACCAACCGTTGGGAAGGATCGAGCCTAGTTAACATTCATTCCGAAAAATAGTGAGTCCCAGTAAATTGTGTGCTAACATTTTGATGCAGGATGAAATGTTGCTTGCGAGCATGAATCCGAGTTAGCGGATTACATGCATGGCCGTTTGAAACGGAATGATGCATGCGAGTGTGAATTCGAGTGTGTGGATCACATGCATTGCCGTTTGAAATGAAACGAGCATGCGAGTGTTGGATCAGAGGGACAAGCAACAGGTTGCGAGGAACCTTCATAATCAAGTTGTTGCTTAGCCAAATTTCCTTCAACTTGTAATGATGGTGAAGAACATGGAGACTAGGCCATACCTT